TACACCTGAGCAAAATGGAGTATCTGAAGCAGCAAACAAGGTAGTTTTAAGACTCGCAAGGTCAATGCTGATTGATGCCCGCATGCCTACACTTTATTGGCTCTGGGCAGTTCGAAACGCATGTTATATTGTTAATAGATTATACTGCTTACGCACTATACAGATCCCATTACTTGATTTCATGCAAGGCCTTAATCAGCCACACACTGGTCAAGTAGACCTTACAAACCTTCCAAGGTTTGGCTGTCGAGCATATAAACTAATACAACCAAAGCTAGGTAAATTCGAGCCCAGAGCAGCAAAAGGATGGTTTATGGGTTTCCAGGAAAATACTGACAAGAACTTCATCATTTATTATCCCCATTGGACAACATCACAGGGCTGGAAATGGATAGAAAATTTCACTCCCCATGCATCTTTCAATGAAGATATAATGTTTGGTGACAAGCTAAGTCCAATCAATCAGCAGAAAACAACGAACTACTGGGCCAGTGATAACTCATTATTTACAGAAACAATGAATTATCAACATAATCCTCCTTTAACTCCAGAACTTCAAACTCCAGCATCGTTTGAGGGGGAGAGTTCATCACCCACCACGCTAGAATCTGACTCTATTACACAAGATGCAACCGAAGATTCCGCATTAGCCGATAACATAAACAATCGGCCCAAATCAATAAGTTCAAGAAGTGACTTCACTCTCGTCATCAGAAGAACAATTACCACCAACAGACATCAGAAATGTGAGTTCCCAAAGTAGTGAGCAAGGTTCATTAAGTGAATCGTACCACTCGAAAGATATAGCAGACTCCCCTCCAGAACCATACTTCCATAGCCATTCACAGGAGCCTAGCCTGCAGCCAGAAGAAGAGGGGGAGTCCAGTTCTGAAGAAGAAGCAGATGAAACGCCATACGACAAGATCATGACTGGATGGGACCCTATATGCTCAATTGTTGGACAAAAACGAGCGCACTCACCAGAAAGGGAATACTCGCCGGAAAACGAGATCACAAGAACTAGGTATGGCAGAGAGGTTAAGAAACATGACTACAAACGTCTCCACTATGGCAAGGCAGCACAAATCTCCAACAATCCAAAAACCTGGAGCGAAGCCATGACTAGTCCGGAGGCCGTGCAATGGAAAAAGGCTACAGATGAGGAATTTCGCTCCCTCAAAGAAAAAGGAGCCATAAAAATCATTCGCCGCACGGAACTTCCACAAGGACGCAAACTTATGAAATGCAAATGGGTATTTAAGAAGAAATTTAGAGCAGATGGCAGCATCGAAAGGTGGAAGGCTCGTTGTACAGCGAAAGGCTTTACCCAGCGTCAAGGCATTGATTACCATGAAACTTTCGCTCCTACACCACGACCGGAAACTGGTAGAATCATGCTTGTGCTAGCCCACCAATTTGGCTGGCACCGTAGGCAAGGTGATGTCCCAACCGCTTTCTTAAACCCTGACATTAACATTGACCTTTACATGGAAATGCCCCAGGGCTATGAAAAAGAAGGATGCATAATTCTCCTTTGCAAAGGACTCTACGGTCTCAAGCTGTAACGGCTGGTAAGCCGATTGGTTCCTGTAGCTTATGTTGGCCAACATGAGCCTAGCCTGATATTGGTAGCGCACGATTGATCGACATCAATGCGTGGATATATGATGCCACTCAACAGAATATCAAGGCATCGGCATCTAGTTTGGCAGGGCAGCAGTATTGGACCATACAGCTACAACACATGTGAAGAATCCCATTGGAACCGAGAGGGAGGGACTGTGCCCCAACCACATAGACAATGTATATATATGTATAGATAGAGACTGAAGTAGTTTTCTCTTCAGAATGATAATTTACATACTATCAACCACATAGTTACACCAGCGCCTGTTCCTTGATCCGTGACACAAGCACGCCGCAGCTCTGTGGTATGATGATGCCAAAGCAACCCTTGCTAGACTTGATGTCAAACAGATTACCCTAAGTTTAAATGTTGTCTCATGATGTTTAAGTTGAGTAGTTTACAAGCAAGTAAACTGGGCTGATGCATCAAAGGCAATAACTTAGTCATGCAAATGTTATAATTAGCGACTAGACGGATGGCCAATTTCACACGCACAACTCCCTTGTTGTTTCACTCCTTCTATTGCCCAAGATAATGTAACAGCCAACCTTAGACCCATGTATGGAACAGAGATTTGAGCAGTTCGTATTGGCAATCTAATATTCAGTCTATATTTGGAATTAGTAGGATACTCAAGATGTATATAGTACCTAGATAGATTCCTCGTGGGAGAGGCAATCAATTCAAGGAACTCTGAGAGAGATTCATATTAGTATAACTTTGCTTAACACTTGGTTTCCACCCAACTACATCAGACGTATGTCTATACACCAACGCCCACCAAGATGTATTCGTGGTTATGCATGTAGATGATTTCCAGTTGATGGGTCCTAACTAAGGCAAGATAGAAACGCTGATGCAAGCTTTACACAAGAGATATAAGTTAAAATCGGTGAGCACAGGCTTTTTTTAGGCATCCATATCAGTTATCCCAGAAAAGATACCCTAGCATTATCACAGGGTCAATACATACGCACACTGATAGATCAACACGGCTTAAAAGACTGCAAACCTGCTTCAACACCCCTTGAGCATCTAATGCTTCCAAGCGATAAAGAGAGCACAACAGAAGAGATTACAAGATACAACTCCATTATAGGTGGCCTGCAGTTTCTCGCAAATAGCACTAGACCCGATATCGCATTTTCTGTCAACCACTTGGCGCAATTTTTGACAAACCCCTCAGGTGAACATCTGCATGCAGCTCACCGGGTGCTAAGGTATCTCTCTAAAGAGCCGGATCGAGGAATTACCTTCAACAGATCAATAGGTAAACCCTCACTTAAAGCTTACACGGACGCAGATTTTGCAGCAGATCCATCAACAAGCAGATCAACTTCCGGATCGCTGATTATACTAACTTCAGGACCAATAAGTTGGCGATCCCATCTTCAGCGGGAAGTTGTTTTGTCTACAACTGAGGCTGAGTATCTTGCTGCCACCAAAATATGTCGTCAGCTACAGTGGACAAAATCGCTTCTGGAAGAGTTAAACATTACTGATCACATTGAGGGAGCAAAATGCACCAAGTTGTATGTGGACAATCAATCGGCAATTTCCCTTATCAAAAATCACGACAATCACAGAAGATCAAAGCATATCTCACTTAGGAACTTCTATTGTCGGGAGCAGCATCAAAAGGGATTGATTGATGTGTCCTACGTGCCTTCTTCTGATCAACTAGCTGACTCACTGACCAAGGTTAAATCATCAGTCGCTATTCAATAACTTAAGGAGTTGTTACCGACAGGGGGAGTGTTGTGCCTAGACCCACATAGCTACAGTGCACAGCTCCAGTTATGATGGTCACGTAACTGCATGCATTTGCTCTATTTGCTCCTGCCTTGTTGAGTTAGTATAATTAGTAAGCAATAGTCTAGGGACTATAAGTAGAGAGCTTTCCTCCACAGTTGATAGAGTAAGCAATTCAGTCTATCCTCATTCTACAGAGATCATTCTCCACTCCTCTTCTTGACCTGTCCGGCCCAGCAGCCCATCTGTGATCACTAGCAGCAAGCTCCCACAAATTGCATGTACACCCGAATCATAGACCTGTTGCAACACAATAACTGAGCCACTAAAGACCTTCGTGTAGCTAAATGGTCTCTTCCCTTCTCATCGCACAACTCATTTATAATGTTTGCCTCGTTCTTCGCACCCTAGCCCTGTGACAGAGGGAGAGGGGGAAAAACTGACATTTCGATATTTCGAATTTCAAAAAATTGTGGATTTGTTTGTTAATTATACTACTTGAGTCTATGACTATCTAGCATATTGGGCTCCTCTCTGGCCCAGGCTACACCTTATACAATGCTGTTTGCCTCTCATGTTTCTTAAAAGATTATTGATATATTGCCCTTGGTGGACAGCCATTCAGCTCACTATTTATCCGTAGAATTCCTTCACCTTTTCCACGGAACCTTCTTCCCAAAGAAAAATGGTAGCAATAGATCCTACGAGCGCGGGAAAAAGTCTCAATGAATTTGGGGCCCCACTCAGGCGAGGTATTGACTGCGGAGCCACAAAGATTACGTTTATTGATTCATGTCTACCTCGTATCAAAAGGGTCTAACTTGTACCATTCACCACCGTTGTATGTGGAGCAAGTTACATTCCACAAACTCATCGGTAACTTCTGCACGACAGTTAGATAAGACTGATAGGAGGACGAATTGGTCTTGAAGTGTCGACCTTGCGCCTTTTTCTTGTGTACTTTCATACAAGTGCAACATCAATTAACTCATGACTTATGGCTATCTTCACCTTTGAGAATAGGGCTTCTACTACATCGTCTGATTCGGTTGTAGTAAGCTTCATGACAATGGTGCTCCGAGGTTGTACCGAGAGACAAAGACGGGAATCACCACGTGGTTAGACGGGAATCCTCATCGAAGCGAAGAGTTTGAGTACGGATTTCATTGGCTATTCTAGATGTACGGGACACACCGTGCGATGACATCTGCGGCATGGGAAGCTGAACAGTTCGTCTGAGGCCGGCCGATCCTTATATTTGGAGCCAGCTCTCAATTCGCAGTTTAATCTCTCAGGGCAGTATCTTGAGACCAGCAAACTATAATGTACAAATTTGATAACCATTCATTGCTTATACCATCTAATAATTTGTATCCTACGCCATCGGGAAGTTTTCCCTTACATTACCAAAATACTGTATAGTTTCTTGGCCTCTCGGACATGATTCGAGCTTTTCCCTTCAAATTTTCCCGATCCCCAACTTATCATTCACTTACGCAAATAGCTTTAGCTACGCCACACAAGTCTGTCATGGCTAGAGTATGGTCAATAAAGCAAGTTCTTCCCTTACGCATCCGACCAGTCTTACTAGAAGCTATTTCTTTCCTCCCTCATGCCTAGACTATTCTAGCGTCTTTCTTTTGCGATCGTTTTTTGATTTCGGTATTTGTGTGTCTCGCAAAATTGGAATTTTTTTGTCAAGGATACAATCAAGTCGGATAATATCCTGTCTCAGGGTTGGTCTAAAATTTGGCTGGTTATATTCGTCGTAATTTAACCCACTGGCTGCATCTAGGATTCGACTTATATGGTGCTTTACAACTATATTGCGAATCTCAAATTGGTTATTTACTATGACTTCGTAGGGTATCCTTCGCGCTTTGAGCCGAATTAGGTAAGGCTTTGTAATCACAGATTCGAATCACTTACAATTTTTGCCTATCAGTACAGATTTGTTCATCATAGCTTTCTGCCATGGACCGTCCACTTGATTAGCTGTGCCACTCACTACAGAGAAAATATGCGGAGCATTGAGTGTGGTATAAAATATGTAATCTTGCATGTCTGCTATTTCCCATGATAAGGATCCGCAATGAACTGAAGTTTCTGTGAGGACTTGCTTCATCCCAAAAGTCTCACTAGTCGAAGCCTCTGGTACTATCGCACAAGGTTCAAATTTACGTGATGTTTCATTGTAAAAAAGCACGTCTTTGAGTTCACAGCTGTTGTTAAAAATTATTTTTTCGATAGATTTCTTTTTTTTACCTAGAATCAGATTTAGTGAGTCAGAGCAATGGAAAATACTTGAGACAGTCCGAGAATAAACTAGAATATTTACCTCCAGGAATTTTGTGTACAGATGGAGGAATTGTCCATTCATAAATTAAATTTTCGTCATTGTCATTTTCGATGTGAACAAGGGGTCTTCTCGCATTTGACCTTTTTGAGACGAATCCTTTACAAGCGCTTTCTCGAATCTTATCAACTTCGCTGAATAGTAAAATTTTATTTCTGCAGTGGTAACTAGGCTCAGTTGATTCAAGCATTCTACGTTGAATCAATGACGCATGGGTTGAGCTGAGAAGTGTAATAAACAAAACTTTTGTCCAGAGACATTGGTCTCTAAAGATATGATGCAGGTAGTTCATGCCCGCTGGTTGTTAAACCGGTACTCTGTGAAGGAGGTGGTATTTGTTTGAGTATAGTTTATGAGGAACAGAGTGAAGGTCGTTTCATGTAGAGCGCTATCAATGATATCTAGCTCATATTCACATATTCCCATGGCTAGTCTTAGGATTATAGGACTTTTGAAATCCTTGAAAATCGTAGTCTCCTTGTCAAATAAACGCGAAAACTTGGCATTATTTATGCCATTTTAATTGCGACCCGTAATTCCAATCTCTGGGCAGCCTCATGTTGCGCCAGCGATCTCCGTGCCGGACGTCAGATGCACAATCAGATAAATCCTATTGTAAAATCGGCAGATTACTTTGTTAGCATTACTGTTCAATTTAAGTAGCTTGTAGATCTCAAAGACATTATTGATGTTCATCTAGACTTTATCTAATGATGTCAAGAGGCAAAGTTTAATGTAGACGAAGCAAGTAATCAAGTAGATTAGGAAGTAAGGGATAAGCTACCAGCAGAGTCATGAGCCATGAGGAATTTGTAATCCAACATGCACACATAGCACTAGTTGTCACGGGACTAAGTCCTAGGAATGGCTTAGCAAACTTGGGACATAGAGACTTCCATGTACATAGTTAGATTTACTCTCCTTATCGCACAACACAGTTATTGATCCCGGCCCATCCAGATCCTGATACTCCCTTTATACATTCCGTGACACTAGTCGGGAGGACGAAGGCTGAACACCTATCATTGGTGTCCTCTACGAATCTGGAGGTAAAAATTTTAGCCAGGGCAGAGATCTAGTCGTGAAAAAGGGTGGGTTCAATTTGGATTTGATGGAATTTCGGCTTGAAGAAGCTATATTGGTATTTTGGTCGAAAAATCAGTCGCCAGATATTTCACAACCGCAAGAAAGTCGAACAAAAACTCGTCATCACGAACATACGATTCACAAATAGACCTAGGTCTATCTGGGGGTCGTATTCAAACATCCGACATATGTCAAACTCCTTATATAACTGCGACGAAGCCTATCTGTACTTCATGGTAGTCAACCTGATGCGGCCCGGCCCCACCCGTGCTTAAGCTCCAGTAGGCGTGCGACGGCAGTTGCTTCAACTAGCACGTTTATGAACAAAAAAACAAAACCAAAAATAAACCCAGATTTTAGAGATGAAGCATGGAAATTCTAGTTTTTTGAATTTGATCTCATTCAGCGCGATTTGGCGCCATATGGACCCATGCTGGTGTCTACTGTTGGAAATGGAGACACAGAGTGTTGTGGACGTACGGGACCTCCATTTCGTCTAGGTTCCCTACACTTTTTTTTGCATCTGATTTTAATTGCGTATGCAGCTATCTAGCTGTGACACAATTTCAGAGAATTGTGTAATAAATGACTTAATTTAGAAGAAGAGCACTCATGCCTCAGATTTTATTTACAGGTACCACTGCAAAGTTATGGTGGCCTTTTTTTCACCCCAAGTCAACCCTCATCCGTGAATACCCATCCAGGGGAACGTCTCAAAAACCCTGAGTTATCTAGACATACCTGCATCATCCGTTCACATTTTTCCGCGCGAAATATGGTCTTTGGTATTTCCTCCCCGAGTGGAATAGGTGCCCAGGCTACTCAAACAATACCAGAGAACACCACCAGGAGATAGACCACAACACCTTCTATCGTTTGCTTGTTTTTTTAGTGTCAGCTGCACTCTCGCAAGCGAAGTCATGGCGCGCACAAAGCCCAATTCGTAAAACTCCTTGCCAAAATTCGGAATTTCACGACTTTCGAGGTTTTATCCTTCCTTTGCATTATCTTGTGAACTTGTCCTGATCCCTCTCACGTTGTCAAGGAACCGTGTTATTAGTATTCCGTAGGGTACGAATTTGGTACAAGTGGGTTACAGGTGTGGAGTATGGTGGTGATTCCTAAGAGTAGGAGGTATAAATTCAGCGTTAGGTATAGGGTTCACGTAAGAAGTAAAGGTAAAATAAGTAGTAGGTGAGAAGGGTACAATAACGGCGGTCTTCTTTAGAGAAGAGATAAGTAAGTGAACAATAGGTATGAGTATAAACAGAAGACGTTGCGTGAAGAAGAATACTCCTTCACGCTGGGTATATATGTACATCAGATAATAGGACAGCCCTAAGCTCTGTCTCGAACAGTATTACTACGCAATCCCTATGAAACGACCCTATGTTCCTGAGCCTGTCCTAATTGTTTAAGAATTTGATCAAACCCCGAGTTGTGTTTTAGAATGGAACTCCCCATGAGACACCATCCTAGTTTCCGCCACGTTTATCCTTTAAGTTTGGGCACTGATAGCACAGCGGAGGACCTAATCACTCTGGCAACATCCCTACGTCCGAGCGTTGCCTGGTAGACCAATGCGTCTAGAATGAGATACATGAGGTTATAAGTTCCTAGGATGGTACGGTGGTAAAATGTGGATATACGAAAATTGTAGGTCAACAGTGTCTCTGGATTTCTGCTATATCTTCTATATAGTGAAATCTTAAGACGGTGTATGACTGTCAACGGCTAAGAATAACCACCGAAGAAGTTGGACAAAGAAATGTCTCAGGTCAAAAATAGGGACTGTCCATATATACGTGGGTTATTTGTTTCGGTCAGTGCTTGAATTCTGTATTTAGAACTGCAGGTTATTCTATTTCTAGCACATGTCTATATTTAGAGATCAAGAGATCAAGTCAATCATGATCAGTGTATATAGTCCTAGAATTCCGGGAGAAATAGAAATCGAGTTGTTTTTACTGAGTTATCTTTTATTTTAATTACATACACTTCGCCTGTCACAGGTCAGGCTCCCAGTAACCTGACAATGACTGTCTTCTAGAATTACGGGATGTGTCTAGTTTATACAGATTTGTAGCTTAGCGTGCATTTTGCATAAATACTGAGGTACACGTGACAAATTATAATACAATGTTTTTGATCATGGATCCTCATACATATCACTCTGATGGCTACCGAGGGGCAACAGCATATGATGTGACAATGGTGTGTAGCTCTGTAATCCCGGAAGGTCCACACTAGCAACCAGTATCAATGGTATGTAATGCCAGGAGATCTTCGTAGTGGCTATGAAAATGGTTATTGTGACAGGAGTAGGAAGCACCTGTGACGAGTGCGTGATCAGGACTGGGGGTTTAACATGTATATAAGGAAGCAATACTTCCACTGATAGATAGATAACTGTCACAGTAGGGAGTGAGGTGGATGGTAACTGACGATGTCATATCTGGTGAATTAGATTGTCTACAAAGAGGAAAGAATCTAGTACTATGAAACGAATAATTATTTACGGACGCGTTTAGCGTGCATTTAGAAATGTCCATATATCATGTAACTGCTTTGCCTGAACGCCTTGTTTCCTTGACATATAGTCTCTCCTTACTCCCGCTTCCCTCTATTTTCCGTGCGCTAAAAAAGATATTTTCAGTTCTGCATAGACACCTTCTTTACAGATTTAATTGCTTTTAGCCTTGCTCTATCAATTTCCGCTTTGGTGAGCTGTAATTTTTGAGGGAAGCATCTCTCAAATTCTTGAATGGATGCCTTGGCAAATACGACATTTTTGAGAGGTTCCCAAATCCCATCTTCAGAGTCATGGTCTCTCCACCGAATTTGATATTGGAAATTTTTCTTATTTTTACTACAATTGGAGTCAATTATGGCCTCGAAAGCATACAAATTTTCACCTGACTGGTCGAGTGTGACAGGCTGGGATGGTGGATTAGTTTGGCCTGGTAAAGGGTTAGTAGGGGCTGGCCTCAGCAAACTAGTGTGGAAAACATTGTGTAATCTATCATATTTGTAAGGGAGCTGTAACTGATAGGCATGAGAATTTAAAATTTTTGTCACTCGAAATGGGCCGATAAATTTGCGGTCTAATTTCTTAATTGGCCGTGTGGTTGTGATATTGCGAGCGTCAAGGAAAACTTCATCACCAACACAGTATGCAGGTGCTGGTGAGCGATTTACTGCTGATGTGATCTCCTGCTTTTCTCTAGAACACGTAAGATTTGAGCGTAGTACTTCGATGATATCTGCCATATTAGAAGCAGAGTCATTCCCGGCACTGGTCTGCTGGCGTAGGCTCTTTGAAGACGTTCTATCTGGTGGTCATGGGGGGCCAAAACTCATGCGCAGATGAAACCCTTTGTTTGCAAAGAACGGGGTGATTTTGGTTGAAGCATTGACAGCATTATTGGCAGCAAACTTGGCCATGGGTAGCCATTCGTAAACATCTTCCTGAGTATAGTCGATATATTGTCTTAGGTACTGTTCCATAAATGAGTTGGCGCTTTCTGTCTGACCATCTGTCTCTGGGTGATAGGCAATGGAGAGTGATATATTGATTTGAAGGCAGTGACAAACTGCTTTCCAAAATTCTGCGACAAATAATGGTCCTCTATCAGATACAATAGAGTCACATAAGCCATGAAGTCGCCAGATATCACGAATAAAAAGCTTTGCAAGATCTTTCGATGTTATTTTCGTATGGCAAGGAGTGTAGTGTCGTTCTTTGGTGAGGCGATTTACTACGACCATAATGCTATTAAAACCGTTAAATTCGGCCAAAAGACCGACAAAGTCTACCGATATATCGCGCCAGTGTTGGGCTGGAAGGGGAAGGGGCTTGAGTGAACCTTGATATTTGAGGCGAGAGACTTTGTTTCGAATGCAATTATGACAGTTCTTGACAAATTGTTCGACTTGTTGGGAGAGGTGGGGCCACCAGTAATGGTCGGATATAGCTTGACATAAGGCGTTCTTATCTGGGTGGCCCTTTTCGCAACTATTATGGGAAGTTTGTAAAATCAGAATTCTCAACTCATTATCTGGGACGTAAAGTCTGCTGCGGAAATAAAGGCGATTATTACGGATTTCACATTCCGAAAGGGAAACTTCTTTTGAATGTGGAATTCCTTCAGACTTTGTCATCTCAGAAACTATTTTAGTCAGCCATCTATCATTTCCTTCCCTAAA